TAATTTGCCAAACTGCACTTCAAGGACTGGAATGCATCTTTACATTTACAATCTACCATTTACAAGCTTTAAATATTTTCTTAAAAGCATTGAAATTATGAAAACAGGTGTTTTATCTTTATACCGAGACAATGGCCCTAGTAACATGAACAAAACATGGCAAACTTTATTCACTTAGCCCCCCCCCCCCCCATCCCTCTGACCTTCCTTTAGGTAATACCTCTGTCACGATATTTTGTCGTCACATGATAACACCTCGTTGTTACATCCTGTTACCTATAGTCCCTAGAGACATTTTTGTTTTCTATATAGACATTTTTTTGGATATGTATCACACCTGAAGAAGACAGACCAATGCTATGTCGAAACATATAGTATTTATTAAGTTATTTCATTAGGCTTACAAATCGTTGGCCCCCAGTGGCACAGCGTTATGTCTGCGGACTTACAACGCTAGAAACGTGGTTTCGATACTCATGGTGGGCAGAGCACAGATAGCCCTTGGTGTAGCTTTGTACGTAATCTGCTTCCCTACACAAACACGTAGGAGTTGTCTTTCAGCACCCAAGTTTTCTTTGAGGCTTGAAAGATCTTAAACCTAAATTATTACCATGGATTGGATTGGACTGAGCCACTAGGAATATTTTAATTCTTATTTTTCTAGGTAGTCTGTTTTGATCAGACGTTAATAGTAATTAAATTAAAATAATGCGAGTGTTAGCTAAGTAATCAAGAAAATTTATTTATCTAAAGTTAAATTTTTTCTGTTATTTGGTAGTTGCTAAGAGTGAATTAACTTAGCAATTAGTTGTACTTAAATTGAGACATGATGCACATCGTAGTTGCTGCACCCCTGGTGCTTTAATGGTAAGTCTCTGGGTTTATAACGCTAAAAATAAGGTTTAGATACCCGCGAGTGGTCATAGATATCCCATTATATAGCTTTTGCTTTACAACAACAACAATATAGCTGCTGTACAAGGAAGTGACAGTATCAGTATTAGTTCTTAGGGGATTTAGTGTTAGATTAATCTACAAACTGTAAAATAGCTATTTGTGGCTAGATTGGAAATAATTCAGGAATAAGTGTAGTTGAATTTATTGAGTTTTGTAGGTGTTAGGTTATGTTAGAGAATTGGGGACTTGATTGGAAATTTTAAGAAGCTCAGAAAGATAGAGCACACTAAACTTGTCCGTAAGTTAGAGAATGATTTTGAGAGGATTGTGCTGTTAGAGAGGGAAAAAAGCAAATTAAGAGTATAAATCAAAGAAGTAAGATAAGGAACGATAGAGTTCGTGTAAAGGTTGCTTTGGGGATTAAAATGTTAAGGTTATACAGGCATGTCCAGTTAACATTCTGGCACCAGTCTCTAATACATTTGAACCTTTGGCTGCTTGTAATGAGGAACGAGATTAGAAATATTATGAAATTATAAAGTACGTTGACAGTTTCGTTGTTTACCAAGGAACATTCACTTGTTATACTGCATGAAGAATCAAATTATGTTGGAAACTATAAATTATGAAAGCTGCTTAATTAAAAAACTTAAAGCACCCTTTCAAAGATTTAAAGACAAAAATAGATATGTGATCCATTTGAGAGTGCTCCCTCCTGCTGGATACAGGAAAGAATTACTTAGAAGGATCCAAGGCTCAAATGAAAGATTATCAAGGATATGCTGAGAACAACAGTCAGGCTGTTTAGACCTGCAAGATAGTTTCCTGGACTGTAAGAACTAAAGTAAAGATACATTTGGGAAAGAGTGATCATTATATAATTAGGCCTGATGTCTTGCTACATTTTTAGATAAAAAATAAAATACAGTTCTAGTTCCTAATATTCACAAAGCCAAATGTGAGGCCACGAGACAAAATCACTATTGAATTAGGACAACAGTTAAAAGTTGCTTTTAATTCAAGAAAGGCATGCTCCTAAAAAGAGGAAAATTATAACAGGAAAAAAAGAAGCTTAACTAGCGTGTTAAACAAATAAAAGAGAAAATCAGGGATAAATGTCATAAGTTTGATAAATTTAAATTGTTAATTATGTTGAAAGATTTTAAAAAACAATAAGAAGTATAGGGATTTTGCTAAAAAAACAACAAATTACTAAATCTGAAAGAGTTTATGAGAAACAGCCGGCTGATAATGTTAAAATAACAGCAAGGGTAGGTAAACAAAATATTAAAATGGTTATTGGCTCATTAAAGGATGCTGGTGTCAAGGTTCTTATTGAAGAGTATGAAATAGATGAGAGTTTAAATATTTTCTTTTCTTCTGGTTTTAGGAGAGAAAATGTTAGCAATAATCCCGACCTCGATGATTCTATAATACATATTGGAGTTTAACTGAATCGTATAGATAATCCCTTGGTAGTAAGTAGGAAGACTATGAGATTTCAAATAGATAAAACATCAAGGCCAGACAAAACTTTCTCAGGGGTTCTAAATAATGTCAAAGATTCAATATTGGAGCCTCTCTCTTTCATGTTTGGTAAGTCATTAGACAATGGACAAGTTCCTAAGTGTTGAAGAGTCGCTTAGGCTACTCCTACTTGTAAAGAAGGTGGTAAGAGTTGCCCTGGATATTATAGTCTAGCTGGTCTTATATCTGTTGTAGGAGAAATTCTAAAATATCTAATAAAGAAAGTTTTGTAAAATCATTTTGTGATATATGATATCGTAAATGAAAGCTAACATCGATTCATCTAAGGTAGTGTTTTCTTGGTAACATATTGTTGCGTCAGAGGGTCACGTGACTATTGTCACGCCGCCTATTTTCTGGAAGTATCTTGTTCCTTCGTGAATGCCCTAGCATTTACTAGATATATGTTTTTTCTGGTATATAAATAGGACGCTCACAACGTGACAACAATGTGTGTGTAGGTAGTGAGTAATTGAACTGCAGTC